GTTGAAGGGTGACCCCCACACCCACAGTGAAGGGTGACCCCCACACCCACAGTGGTGAAGGGTGACCCCACACCCACAGTGGTGAAGGGTGACCCCCACACCCACAGTGAAGGGTGACCCCCACACCCACAGTGAAGGGTGACCCCCACACCCACAGTGAAGGGTGACCCCCACCCACAGTGGTGAAGGGTGACCCCCACACCCACAGTGGTGAAGGGTGACCCCCACACCCACGGGGGTGAAGGGTGACCCCCACACCCACAGTGGTGAAGGGTGACCCCCACACCCACAGTGAAGGGTGCCCCCTTTACCCCCAAAGGGAAAAGGGGTGACCCCCACACCCACAGTGAAGGGTGACCCCCACACCCACAGTGAAGGGTGACCCCCACACCCACAGTGAAGGGTGACCCCCACAACCACGGTGAAGGGTGACCCCCACACCCACAGTGAAGGGTGACCCCACACCCACAGTGGTGAAAGGTGACCCCACACCCACGGGGGTGAAGGGTGACCCCCACACCCACAGTGAAGGGTGACCCCCACACTCACGGTGAAGGGTGACCCCCACACCCACGGTGAAGGGTGACCCCACACCCACAGTGGTGAAAGGTGACCCCACACCCACGGGGGTGAAGGGTGACCCCCACAGTAAAGGGTGACCCCCACACCCACAGTGGTGAAGGGTGACCCCCACACCCACAGGGGTGAAGTGATCACACCCACGGGGGTGAAGTGATCACACCCACGGGGGTGAAGAGTGACCTCCACACCCACGGGGGTGAAGGGTGACCCCCACACCCACGGGGGTGAAGGGTGACCCCCTACCCACAGGGGTGAAGGTGACCCCCTACCCACAGGGGTGAAGGTGACCCCCTACCCACAGGGGTGAAGGGTGACCCGCTACCCACAGGGTTGAAGGGTGACCCGCTAACCACAGGGGTGAAGGGTGACCCCTACCCACAGGGGTGAAGGGTGACCCCCTACCCACAGGGGTGAAGGGTGACCCGCTACCCACAGGGGTGAACGGTGACCCCTACCCACAGGGGTGAAGGGTGACCCCCCACTCACAGAGGTGAAGGGTTACCTCCACCCACAGAGGTGAAGGGTAACCCCCACCCACAGGGATAAAGGGTGACCCCCACAGGGGTGAAGGGTGACCCCCACAGGGGTGAAGGGTGACCCCACACCCACAGGGATGGTGACCCCCACACCCAGAGGGGTGAAGGGTGACCCCCACACCCACAGGGGTGAAGGGTGACCCCACACCCACAAGGGGTGAAGGGCGACCCCCACAGGGGTGAAGGGCGACCCCCCACAGGGGTGAAGGGTGGCCCTCACACCCACAAAGGTGAAGGGTGATTCGCACGCCCACTGGGGTGATGGGTGACCCCCAGAGGGGTGTCGAGTCTCCCCCACAGGGGTGTAGGGTAACCCCCACACCCACTCGTGCGTAGGGTGACACCCACAGGGATGTAGTGACCCCCACACCCCCTCGGGTGTAGGGTGCCCCCCACACCCACACGGGTGCAGGGTGACCTCCACACGGGTGCAGGGTGACCCCCACACAGGGGAAGTGAGACCTTGACACGGGTGCAGGGTGACCCGCGCACGGGTGCAGGGTGACCTACATTGATGTAGGGTGACCCACATGGGTGTAGGGTGACCCACATGGGTGTACGGTCACCCACATGAGTGTAGGGTGACCCACATGGGTGTACGGTCACCCACATGAGTGTAGGGTGACCCACGTGGGTTTTACGGTCACCACAATGAGTGTAGGGTGACCCACATGGTGTAGGATGACCCAAAAGGGTGGAGGGGACCCACATGGGTTTACTGTCACCCACATGAGTGTAGGGTGACCCACATGGGTGTACGGTCACCCACATGAGTGTAGGGTGACCCACTTGGGTGTACGGTCACCCACATGAATGTAGGGTGACCCACATGGGTGTAGGGTGACCCACATGGGTGTAGGATGACCCACATGGGTGTAGGATGACCCACATGGGTGTAGGATGACCCACATGGGTGTAGGGTGACCCACATGGGTGTACGGTCACCCACATGGGTGTAGGGTGACCTACATGGGTGTACGGTCACCCACATGAAATGTAGGGTGACCCACATGGGTGTAGGGTGACCCACATGGGTGTATGATGATCCACATGGGTGTAGGGTGACCCACATGGGTGTATAATGATCCACATGGGTGTAGGGTGATCCACATGGGTGTAGGGTGACCCACATGGGTGCAGGGTGACCCACATGGGTGTAGGGTGACCCACATGGGTGTAGGGTGACCCACATGGGTGTACGGTCACCCACATGAGTGTAGGGTGACCCACATGGGTGTAGGATGACCCACATGGGTGTAGGGTGACCCACATGGGTGTACGGTCACCCACATGGGTGTAGGGTGACCCACATGGGTGTACGGTCACCCACATGAGTGTAGGGTGACCCACATGGGTGTACGATCACCCACATGAGTGTAGGGTGACCCATATGCCCACCGCCTCGATCATAAGAAATTTTTGCCTGCGGCTGATGGTGGGCGTTGTGAGCGTGTAGTCTGGGCGTGGTTGCCGTAGCGTTGGCGTGGTAGGCTTATAGCATGGGCGCATAGTGTGGGCATATAATGTGGGACTGGTTGGTGTATAGCGTGGGCGCAAAGTGTGGGCATGTAATGTGGGAGTGGTTGGTGTGTAGTGTGGGCGTTGTGTATATAGTGGCCATGTAGTGTGGGCGTGGTAGTGTGGGCCTGGAAGTAATGTGGACGCGGTAGTGTGGGCATGGAAGTAATGTGGACGCGGTAGTGTGGGCTTGGAAGTAATGTGGACGCGGTAGTTTGGGCATGGAAGTAATGTGGACGCGGTAGTTTGGGCATGGAAGTAATGTGGACGCGGTAGTGTGGGCATGGAAGTAATGTGGACGCGGTAGTGTGGGCATGGAAGTAATGTGGACGCGGTAGTGTGGGCTTGGAAGTAATGTGGACGCGGTAGTGTGGGCATGGAAGTAATGTGGACGCGGTAGTGTGGGCTGGAAGTAATGTGGACGCGGTAGTGTGGGCTTGGAAGTAATGTGGACGCGTTTGGTAGTTTGGGCATTGGAAGTAATGTGGACGCGGTAGTGTGGGCTTGGAAGTAATGTGGACGCGCTAGTGTGGGAAGTAATGTGGACGCGCTAGTGTGGGAAGTAATGTGGACGCGCTAGTGTGGGAAGTAATGTGGACGCGGAAGAATGAGCATGGAATGTGGACGCGGTAGTGTGGGCATGGTAGTAGTAATGTGGACGCGCTAGTGTGGGCATGGTAGCAGTAATGTGGACGCGGTAGTGTGGGCATGGTAGCAGTAATGTGGACGCGGTAGTGTGGGCATGGTAGCAGTAATGTGGACGCGGTAGTGTGTGGGCATGGTAGCAGTAATGTGGACGCGGTAGTGTGGGCATGGTAGCAGTAATGTGGACGCGGTAGTGTGGGCATGGTAGCAGTAATGTGGACGCGGTAGTGTGGGCATGGTAGCAGTAATGTGGACGCGGTAGTGTGGGCATGGTAGCAGTAATGTGGACGCGGTAGTGTGGGCATGGTAGTAGTAATGTGGACGCGGTAGTGTGGGCATGGTAGCAGTAATGTGGACGCGGGTAGTCGTGGGCATGGTAGCAGTAATGTGGACGCGGTAGTGTGGGCATGGTAGTAGTAATGTGGACGCGGTAGTGTGGGCATGGTAGTAGTAATGTGGACGCGGTAGTGTGGGCATGGAAGTAATGTGGACGCGGTAGTGTGGGCATGACGCGTAGGGGGATGGTAGTAGTAATGTGGACGGGTAGTGTGGGCATGGAAAAGCGCTAGTTGGGCATGGTAGTAGTAATGTGGACGCGGTAGTGTGGGCATGGTAGTGGACGCGGTAGTGTGGGCATGGAAGTAATGTGGACGCAGTAGTGGGGCATTGGAGATTACCTAGTGTGGGCATGGTTGGTAGTAAGTGTGGACGCGGTAGTGTGGGCATGGATAGTAACGTGGACGCGGTAGTGTGGGCATGGTAGTAATGTGGGGATGTGAGGATAGTAAATGTGGAGCGTGGGAGTGTGGCGGTGATTGGATAGTGTGGGCATGGTTGGTGTGTGGGTTGATGTGTGGGAGTGGGGTTGTGTGTGGAGGGTAGTGTGGCATGTAAGTATGTTAGGGGAGTGTGGGATGGTTGTAGTAGTGTAGGAGTGGGTTGTAGTTGGTAGGATAATGTGGTTGGGTAGTGTGGGAGTGGTTGTTCGTAGTGTGGGGTGGTTGTTGTAGTGTGGGAGTGGACTGCTGTAGTGTGGGAGTGGTGTTGTGTAGTGTGGGAGTGGGTAGTGTGGGCAGTGGTATAATGTGGAGTGTAGTGGAGCGTGGTTAGTGCTGCGGATGTAGTGTGGCATGTGGGTGGTGATAGTGTGGGAGTGGTGGTTGTGTGGGAGTGGTTGTAGTGTGGGAGTGGTTGTAGTGTGGGAGTGGTTGTTGTAGTGGGAGGGTTGTTGTAAATGTGGGAAATGGTTGTTGTAGGGTAGGAGTGGGTTGTTGTAGTGTAGGGGTGTGTTGTAGTGTGGGAGTAGTTGTTGAAATGTGGGAGTAGTTGTTGTAGTGTGGGAGTGGTTGTTGTAGTTGGGAGTGGTTGTTGTAGTGTGGAGTGGTTTTGTAGTGTGGGAGTGGTTTAGTGTGGGAGTGGTTGTAGTGTGGGAGTGGTTGTTGTAGTGTGGGAGTGGTTGTTGTAGTGTGGGAGTGGTTGTTGTAGTGGGAAATGGTTGTTGTAGTGTGGGAGTGGTTGTTGTAGTTGGGAGTGGTTGTAGTGTGGGAGTGGTTGTTGTAGTGTGGGAGTGGTTGTTGTAGTGTGGGAGTGGTTGTTGTAGTGTGGGAGTGGTTGTTGTAGTGTGGGAGTGGTTGTTGTAGTGTGGGAGTGGTTGTTGTAGTGTGGGAGTGGTTGTTGTAGTGTGGGAGTGGTTGTTGTAGTGTGGGAGTGTCATCTTACCTGCAGGTCTTGTTTGGCTGCCTCTGCTCCGGCTCTTGTGCTGAACGTGACGAATCCCACAGGCTGAAACACACAACATGGCATTATTACTATCATTGTTGGCACTGGTTCCACCCCTAATGCCACACCCTCCTACACTCACACACTTCTACCCTCTAACGTTCCTAACCTCCTCCTTCCCCATCTCTCCCCACTTCCGTAGATAATATATACTGGCACTGAAGAAACCTATCCTAGTGCCACACTTGCAGTGCCTCTGACTCTGCCTCTGACTTACCACTTGTGCTACATTCTTACCATGTGTGGTACTGTCCCTATAGCTCCTCTAAATGTTACATTTTACCCTCAAAGTTAGCAAACAATCATTGAGTTCAGCTTCGGGAACAGAGTTGTTGATGCGTGGAAATGTATCAAGTAGGCTCATAAAAGATACACTATTGAGAACTTGAAAAATACTTGACAAATACACGAGTGAGAGGGACTGGGCATAGGTGGGACTAGTCTAGCTTTGGTTATTTAGGTTACTGAAGCTAACTCCATGACTACCTTTGAGAACACGTTGGACATACATACGGGTGAGAAGAGTTGAACTGAAAGAGGACCTACCAAGTATAGGTTACTAGACATAAGAACTACTTGTAAGGCTACTGAAGTGTTCCTTCCATTCTTATGCTTTAATTACAAGTAGCCTTACAACAAATCCTCCTAGTCGAAATGTGCACTTTTAAGTGACTGTAAACGTCCTTAAATCTGCGTGGGAATGGCTGAAGAGCTATGGTGATATCGACAGTGTATAGATACATACACGTGCACCGTTTACATTTAAATGTCTTGAATTGTCTATATCCACATACTGCGTGGGCATGTTGCGCATGTTCTGTTCAACACACTGGCAGAGAGTAAAAGTAAGGCACGGGACATCCGAATGGGAGAATAACAAGTGGGATTCCGCAAGGCTCAGTGTTAGGACCACCACTGTTCCTAGTATTAATATATGAGTAACCTAGCAGAGGGGATCACGTCCTATGTGTCACTGTTTGCTAACGATGTGAAACTTTTGAGAAGAATAACAGGAGAGCACAATGATAAACTCTAGAGACCTGAACAGATTGGAGATGTGGTTACACAAGTGGCTTCTCTCGTTCAACCCAAGTTGTGGAGGAGTAGAGGGCAGACCAGACAGTTATGGACTGGGAAGGAGAAAAACTGCAGAGTGAGGATATGGGGGTAAATATTACACCTAGTATATCCCCATAGTTGCACATGAACCGTATAACGTAAGCGGCATATGTAAGATTAGGAAACCTCAGAATAGAAATCAAACTTGAATAAAGAATCCTTCAGAACCTTATACACGACATATGTTAGACTAATTAGAGGGTATGCCGCCCCAGCATGGAGCCCACACTCGGTCATGCACTAGAAGAAACTGAGAAGGTTGAAAGGAATGAACCTGACGATCTAAAGAAGAGGACAATGGCGGACATGGTTATTATGTAGAAAATCTTACGAGTAACCGAGTGAGCCTGATAAAAGGCAGCTTGTTTGAACTAAAAGGACCAGGATCAAGGAGAGACGGGTGGAAGCTGAAGAGAAAGATATGTAAGGAAGTATTTCTTAGTCTCAGGGTAGTTGAGATATAGAATGACTTGGCTGAAGTGGAGGACAACTCAATACACAACCTCAAGAGTAGATATGATAAGGCAGAAGATGACAGAAGTTAGAGATGTCTAGCAAGGTGATCTAGGTAGTGGAGGCCAAGAACTAAGTATCAAAAAAAATCGGTAAGTACACTTCTTTTACATTAAGATGAGCAAATTTATGTCATAAGCAACTATTTGTACATAATGTAAAGACGAACATATCAGACTGAGGAGACGACTTGTACAGAAGTAGATAGAAAAATATACACAAACTGGGAGGCCAAGCTCAGGGGAGGACCAACCTCAGGGGAGGGCCAACCTCAGGGGAGGACCAACCTCAGGGGAGGACCAACCTCAGGGGAGGACCAACCACAGGGGAGGACCAACCTCAGGGGGGGACCAAGCTCAGGGGAGGACCAAGCTCAGGGGAGGACCAACCTCAGGGGGGGGACCAAGCTCAGGGGAGGACCAAGCTCAGGGGAGGACCAAGCTCAGGGGGGACCAAGCTCAGGGGGGGACCAAGCTCAGGGGGGGACCAAGCTCAGGGGGGGACCAAGCTCAGGGTAAGACCAAGCTCAGGGTAAGACCAAGCTCAGGGGAGGACCAAGCTCAGGGGAGGACCAAACTCAGGGGAGGACCAAACTCAGGGGAGGACCAAACTCAGGGGAGGACCAAACTCAGGGAGACCAAACTCAGGGAGACCAAACTCAGGGAGACCAAGTATGGTGCTCATTTTGAAAAGCAGAAGACTGATACCTGATCGGTCAGAGCACAAGCAGATTTCACACCTCCATATATCTGGTAGACATATGGAGGTACTCCAGAAGTTGGCTGAGCCTGGGCCAGGAACTAGTGCTCGACCCCCCCCCCCCCCCGCCGCGCGGACACTACAGGCGCCGTCCATCTAGTCTACCTAATCATTCATGTTTTTCTTACCAGTAATCAATAGCGGTGGGTGGGGTGGGGTAGTGGGGGAGGTAGTGGGGGGGTGGGGGGGGGTAGTGGGGGAGGGTAGTTGTGGGGAGTAGTGGGTGGAAGTAGGTGTGGATGGGGTTATTTGTGGGTGAAAATAGTTGTGGGTGGGTGGGTGGTAGCGGAAGATATGGATGGTGGTGTTGGTTGGGTGGTAGTGGTACTGGGTGATTAACAGTGGTGGTGGTGGTGGTGGTGGTGCCACTACCATAAGGGTCACTCTATACTACAGTGGAGAGGAAAAACAAGGTGTCTCCCCTCGCTGTCTCCCCTCGGTGTCTCCCCTCGGTCCGTTCCAAGGTAATGTCGCACTAGCACGCGACGCACCACCACTTTCACCATGGAGACCACCACCACTACCACTTTCACCATGAAGACCACCACCACTTTCACCATGGAGACCACCACTTTCACCATGGAGACCACCACCACTTTCACCATGGAGACCACCACCACTTTCACCATGGAGACCACCACCACTACCACTTTCACTATGAAGACCAACACCTCCACTTTCACTATGAAGACCACCACCACCACTTTCACTATGGAAGACCACCACCACTTACCTGACCACTTTCACCATGGAGACCACCACCACTTTCACCATGGAGACCACCACCACTTTCACCATGGAGACCACCACCACTACCACTTTCACTATGAAGACCAACACCACCACTTTCACTATGAAGACCACCACCACTTTCACCATGGAGACCACCACTTTCACCATGGAGACCACCACCACTTTCACCATGGAGACCACCACCACTTTCACCATGGAGACCACCACCACTACCACTTTCACTATGAAGACCACACCACCACTTTCACTATGAAGACCACCACCACCACTTTCACTATGAAGACCACCACCACTTTCACCATGGAGACCACCACTTTCACCATGGAGACCACCACCATTTCACCCTATGGAGACCACCACCACTTTCACCATGTGATGACCACCACCACTACAATTTCCTATGAAGACCAACACAATTTCACTAAAGAAGACACCACCACATTTCACCATGGAAACCATCTTCACCCATGAGACCACCACCACTTTCACCATGAGACCACCACCACTTTACCATGGGACCACCACCTACCACTTCACTATGAGACCCAAATACCACATTTAACCATGGGACCACACTTTCACCATGACACACCACTACCACTTTCACTATGAACACACCACCACCACTTTCACTATGAAGACCACCACCACACTTTCACTATGAAGACCACCACCACCACTGTACATATGAAGACACCACCACTACACTTTCACTATGAAGACCCACCGCCACTTCACTATGAAGACCACCACCACCACTTTCACTTGAAGCCACCACCACCACTTTACTATGAAGACCACCACACCACTTTCACTATGAAGCCACCCACTTCACTATGAAGACCACACCACCCACTTTCACTATGAAGACACCACCACCACTTTCACTTGAAGACCACCACACCACTTTCACATGGAGACCAATACACCACTTTCACCATGGGTTACCAATCAATCCGTCACCTTGATAATTGATGTCAAACTACTTTTACATCTTAGTGTTGCATGGGTGAGATGCTGGTGTCCAGACGAAGTTACGTAGAAGCACCCAAGTGTTGCACATGTCTTAGTCAAGAATAAAGAGTGCACGCAGATGAGCACCAGTGTAGTGTAGTGCTGTGTAACCCAATACACTACAAGACATGGGACCATGAACAGATTTCATTGACAATACACAGTGTGAAAGCAGTGATGGTTTACACGAGTACTCACCGTACACATGTAACCATACGAAGAACGATGGTAAATTTTGCTCCCTCGCACCCGACAGACAGGAAAGTTGAAGCAATCCATTTAGGTGATCAGACTGGCACTAATAAAGCCGCTACGAGCGGACCTACACCTAACACCCAGGTAGACTTTGAGAAAGACAAGTGTGTTTTGAAACGCTGAATATAGCAGTTAGGGATTAATATACCAAGTACCATTTTAATGAAGAGTTGGTAAGAGGTAAAGGCAGAGCAATCAGCACTCGTGTGTTAAGGTGGTCCTGCCAAGAGGTGTTGCCCTCAACCTGCTTCAATATTAAAGGTCTACCTACCTGGAGGGTGTTCGGGGGGGGAGGGGGTCAACGCTCCCGCGGCCTAGTCCTTGACCACGTCTCCCATCTGCATATATTAATGACTAGTAATACCTAAATATTCCCATTACTACTACCACCATCACCACAACAATCACCGTTATGACAGCGATCACAATCACTGCTATCACTAACAATAATATTCACCACTACCATAACTGCTGCAATCACCACCACCAGTGTCACCATCACCAGACACTACAACATGTTGGTCACTGAGAACACAGCACACAGGTGGGTCTTGTATCAGCCTCCACTATCATTGGAAAATCTCCTGTTT